TGCAAATGCATTAGACTTTTCCTGAGTAGACAGCAATTTAGTTTTGCATTACTCCAAAATTGAAGGTTTTTCATTGCCAAATTTCCTCCTGATTATTTTTGTTACTTAAAACTTATTACAAAGTTTCTAACGCCTAATGATACCAAGGTACAATGAAAAACACCTATCTGGATTCTTTGCCACATTTACATTATTTTCAAGTTAGATAATTTACTCTTGTAGTTTGTTGATACGAAAGCATGAGCCCACACAAGTACTTAAAATTTCTAAGTATACCCCTGAGATAAAGCTGATCAGAAATTTGATGAAACTAGGGCTTAATACCTGGTATCTATCGCTAGGTACTTATAATTGGAGATCAAAAGGGGAAATGGAACCATGTACATACATTGCTGCTGACTTTATTTTCCATCAGAGGTTTTTGTGCAAATCGAATGAGGCATGAATGTGGGAAGATGTTGAAAGAAACTCCTCTAAACCACTGATCAAATATCTTTTAAATGAATTATTTTACGTAGGTATAAGATTAAATTCTTAAAGTGGAATTTGTTTTCTGTTGCAGGCCCAGCATTTCGAGTCCCTTTTTCAAAATGACCATGGGTTAACAAAGACAGCAAGAAACATCATTCGAGAGCGGATTGTGAAGGAGGTCCAAAAATTATACTCCTTGAAAGGAGGGCATGCTCAGAAAAAATTGAAAGTAGGAGGGCAAAGGAAAGAAGCTTTTAAGCAGTTAAGACTCTATACTGTCATCAAAAGTAAGTTTTTATTCATTTTTGGCCATGAGAGAATCATTTTCAGCACTTTATCAGTTAAAAAAATTAAAGGGAAGATTAATTAATAAATGTTGATGCTGTTATAGTAGACTATAATGTTTTTGTATACTCTGTAAATTTGTATACATTCTCATCGATTTTTTAAAGCATGCCAGGAAATGGGAAGTTGCAAAAGTTTCAAGAACCCACTTTAGCATTGCCTGTAATTCCTTTCCATTCAGGCAGGAATAGAGGAGACAATTTTATTTTTCCTACTTCGTTAAATTTAAGCATCCTGAACTGCAGTAAGAACTTTATTCTGCTGAATTGTATCAAATAAAACATTTCTTTATCCCTAAGTTATCAGTGACCATTTACTCTTATTGCTAAATGAATGCATCTCTCAAGGCATTTTTCCTGACTCTCTAAAACAAGCCACGGTAATTCCTGTTTACAAAAAGGGTTCTAAAATTGATATTTCAAACTATCGTCCCATTTCCATCCTGTCCACAGTAAGCAAAATCCTAGAGAGAATCTTATTCAAGCAACTCCTTTGTCATTTCGAATCAAATGACCTACTATATCATAGACAGTACGGTTTCAGGAAAGGTCTATCTACTACACAAGCTCTCTATAATCTAATTGATAATGTGATTAATGCTTTCGAATTGCAAATTCCGATTATGAGTCTACACTTTGACCTAACCAAAGCCTTTGACCTCTTAAACCATTCCCTGTTACTCGACAAGCTTCAACTTTATGGGCTGTCCTCAAATTCACTAGCCCTCATTGCCTCATATCTTACTGGTCGTAAGCAAAGAGTGAAAATCATCTCTGCTGCAGGTACCATCTTATCTGATTTCCTACCCATAATTACTGGTGTACCGCAGGGCTCAATACTCGGTCCACTATTGTTTATTATATACATGAATGACCTCCCTTCCAACGTTACTCATCCCATTTTATTATATGCCGATGATACTTCCGCTGTAATTACAGATGGCGATGTTAAGCTAAAAGCTCGTGAAGTCTATGAGCAGGCCTGTATGTGGTTTGAGGCAAATGGCCTCCTTGTCAATCAAAAGAAAACTCAAGCAATTCTTTATTCTGTATCCCCTAGAACTACCTCTTCATTGCCAGAACCCATTTGTATGTTAGATGATAATTTAAGCGTAAAATTGGAAAGTTCCATAGAATTTCTTGGCATTCATATTGATGCAGGTCTAACGTGGCAACGACAGACCGACATGGTTGTGTCAAAACTATCAAGGGCCTCTTGGGCCATTCGCAACCTTTCCAGAATTTCCACCTTGAGCTGCTGTCTCGCTTTCTATCACGCTCACATAGTGTCTCATATGCGATATGGGCTTCTTCTGTGGGGGCGAGGCTCTAGTGTTGATCAAGTGTTTGTCATGCAGAAAAAAATTATCAGAACCATTTTCAATCTTCCTCATAACTCACACTGCCGCCCGATCTTTGTTAAATATAAATTATTTACCCTAACCTCCCTGTACATCTGGGATTGCCTGAAATTTGCCATCTCCAGTGCTCTTATTTTGCCTTCTGACCTCCTGCCCAATCATCATTACAACAGTAGGCATAAGAACATCCCTAATAAAATGATTCGATTGAGACGGACTGAGCAGGATGTCAAATTTTCGGCAATACAGATGTTCAACGCACTGCCTTGGAGTGTGAAGCTACACTTTCGTAATGCTGATCTAACATCGTTTTTTAAGGGGTTGCGTGCTTTCTTAATCGAAAAAGCCTTCTATAATCTTGACGAACTTGTAGGCTAGTAAAATTTAAACCTTGTACCTTATGTATATCGCTGTAGAAAGTATCGACGTTGGTATCTTGGAGTGGATTTTATCATTGTTCATGGACTCTCTTTTAGTAAAATTATACCTTGTTTGTAAACTATTTATATGTTTAGCATATTACCTCCTGTTAAGTTGTAATGTTTAAATTATTTCATCTTTTTAGCAATGTGAAATTTGTGAAAAATAATTTATTTTGGGAAAGTTTCTTACTTATTATTTTTCCCTGTGTCAAGCATACAAATAAAATTGTTCTTATTTTTTGTAACTGTTCACCATGTACCAAATATGACGTGTGCCATAGCCTCAGCCAGAGGCTCAATTGTACAAATTATAAAATAAATAAATAAATAAGTATTGTGCTGAGAAAGAAAAAGAGAGACTTGTTGTGACAGAGATCTGTCTATTTAGTCCTGCATCCCAGAAAAAGCAGTGGCGTAGCGTGACGTATTCCTTATTGCTCGCTCATGACCTGTTTTTGATCTGAGCCTTTAGTCAAGCAAGAAGATAAAGGGGATCTTCATTTCTCTACCCATGTTACTGGCTAAAAGCCCTGCTATTAGGTATGAGCAATTTATCATGCAAAACTCATTTTATTGCTTCCTCCTACAGTTGTTTGTTTTTAGTGTATTTTCCGAAGGAAATACACTATTGCGTTCTCCCCTGATGTCAGACCTGGACCAAAGACCATGTAATGAGCATCGATCATGGGTCGTAGATTACGAATATGCATGCCGTTTGAATTCATGTTTATATATATGTATATATATATCTGTTTATTTATGTATGTATTTCCGACTCATCGTGGTTTTTCCGATTTTCGCTGGGTTATGTTTCCCTCATTTTAAAAAAATTTCCGGGTGAAACTTTTTGCGATGTAAAGTAGAGGAACAGGACTACCATTCTGCGAAAAAAAACGGAGATCGAAGTATTACATTTCGAATGGTGGGGGCGAGAAGTGGGGGGGAGGTTCAATTTTGTGGGCGCTATAACTCGCGCAAATTAAAAGCTTTCCCCCCGAGATTTTTACAGAAGGAAGATCTTATTTAGTTCTAGGCTGGTATTGAATTTGAGCGAAATCGGTCGAGCCGTTTAAAAATGGCGAGCTTAGAAAGTTATAGGCGGGGGGTGTGCGGCAAAAGAGGAGGGAAGCCGCACAGTATTATAAGTGCATTGGAACTTGTCAAAATTCTCTAGAACATATTATTTTTTCCCCAATAAACCACCGCATGAGAAGCCATGCAAATCTCAGTGGTTTTCCCCTCAATGTCGAGACAAATCAGTAACATTTTAGAGCTGTTTGTACAGTAGTTTAAGGGGAGTCGGACATGAAAAATTCGAAAAATTTCGGATTTTCAGTTTTTTGTGTAACTATTTTCTACATACTCTCAGGATTAAACGGAGACCAAGATCAAATCATTCTGACCATTGTTTGAGGCAGGAGGAATATTTGAATGAGTCAAAGTCGTGCGTTGTACCAACCTTTTTTTCCCATCTGAGAATACTCTAGTGCCACTCATACTCCATTGTGTCTTATTGCTGGTCCTTTTGGTTTTATTTAGTTATGTTGGTAGCAGTATTTAGTTCTGAAGTAATCCTGTAGAGCTGCTAATAGCACCACTTGTTAAGCCAGTCCGCCAGTCGTATTAGATATCAGATGTTTGTAAACAAAACATGTGATAATGAGCAAAAAACAGTTATGAAAATTTTGTATGTCTCATTTTATGTGCCTATTAATTCCGTTTATTGAGTTTATCAAATGGTTTATTCAGAATGTGAAGTGTTTAAAAAACGACGAAACGTTGGAAAACGGAAAATTGCATGTGAGCCTTTAGAACAGAGGAGAGAGGTAGAACCAAATGAAAGTGCGATAAGTGTGAACCCGCAACCTATTCCAACACCGCAGGAGAATACCACTCCTAAAGACAGCACATCCAAAAGAAAACTTCAAGAAAATGTAAGTAATTACAGTCTTTTTTTGCCTGATGTTGAAGATGATGACACTTTTGACATTATAAATTTCAAGTCATTCACTTCGCTCTTGAATGACATTGCTGTTTGCAAATCGTGTCACAGCCCTGTTTCGGTCACCTCTTCGCAAAACTGAGGTTTGAGCGTGATGATCAATACCGCTTGTAGCCAGTGTAACAACAGTGTGAAGTTATCGAACAGTTCAGCTTTACCCTCCAAAAAATCTGACATTAATGTGCGGTTCGTTTATGCTATGCGGTGTATCGGTAAAGAAGAGGAAGCAGCAAAAACTTTCTGCGGCATTAAGAACCTGCCTAGTCCACCATCTTTCAAAAGATACACCAAAGTTCTCACTGACTCAGCTAAATCAGTCTGTCAGGAGTCAATGAAGGAGGCTGCTGAGCAAGCAGTACAAGAGAACGATGGTGATAGAGATATCACTGCTTCTTTTGATGGAACTTGGCATGGAGTGTTGACCGTCATCAGTGCTGGTAAGGTCTTAGATGTGGCTATACTTTCAAAGTACAGCAGGTGTTCCAAGCGTCTTGAGAAGCAACATCTGCCTAATTGCTGTGCAAATTATCAGGGTACGAGTGGTGGCATGGAGACTCATGGTGTAACGCAACTGTGTCAAAGATCAGAGGAATTGTATAATGTGCGATACAAATACTATCTAGGTGATGGTGATTCACCAGCTTTCAGTACAGTCCAATCTTTGAAACCTTATGGGGATGACTGTATCATGGAGAAACTAGCATGTGTTGGTCATGTCCAAAAAAGAATGGGAACAAGACAGCGAAAATTGAAAAGCGATATGGGCAAGAGACAACTTAGTGACGGTAAAACATTAGGTGGTCGAGGACGCCTCACTTTAGATGCCATCAAAACTATACAAACTTATTATGGACTGGCTATAAGGCGAAATACCTCAAGCCTTGTCAGCATGAAAAGAGCTGTATGGGCAGAATACTTTCATATTGCTTCAACTGATGAAAACCCTAGCCACGGCATGTGCCCAAAAGCAGATGACAAAGATTGTTGGTGCAAGTACCAAAAAGCTGTTGTTAATAAGGAAGACAGGGTGGCAAGCGTCAGGGAAAACGGGAAAACCGGGAATTGTCAGGGAATTTTGAGTGACCGGGAAAAGTCAGGGAAATGTCAGGGAATTATTGCCGCGGTCAGGGAATTTTCGTAGCGCATCAGCGCATCTTCTCTTCTTCTATAGACGCTATTAGTGCAACGTCACAGAAAAGCGATATATATCGATTTTTTCGCACTGGTAGCATTGAAAGAGGTTATGCCAATGTTATTGTTTGGATCCAATTCGATATAATGGAGAATCCCTATGATGACGTCGCCACTAATAGCGTCTATACTATAAGCTCCAAGACCTCCTAATTTTGCGAAACTGGTAACGCTTAGTTCCAGCGTTCTACCGGGCCGATTTTCATGATTTTTGCGGCTATCGACGGGCAATTGCCTCTAAATAAGCCAACTCTTTTCAGATTTTCAAAATATGGCCCAGGTTTTTTTATATTACGTGGTAAAGTTGCGAATTCTCCCATTTAAACAATGTAAATTTATACTTTTTGTCATAGTTCGTTTGAGCGTTCTACCGGGCCGATTTCCATGATTTTTGCGTAAATCGACAGGTAATAGGCCCTAGATGAGCCCGCTGCTATCAGATTTTGGAAAAAAGACCCAGGTTTTTTTAAAATCACGTTATAAAAGTGAGTGAGTTTACAGAATGCTCCGGTACTGCTACCGCTATGCGCGGGAGGATGCGCAATGGTCGAGGAGGTTGCGCAGTAGCTGGTTAGCCTGCGCATCAGCTCTACACTTATCTACACAAGATTCGTAGCTGCGTCTTCATGTCGAGCGGTGGCCGAGTCGTCTAAAGACGTCAAATGCGTCCGCTTTGATCACAGTGTGGGTTCGATCCCCGACTTATTAAATCTTAATATTATTACCTTACTATCATTGTTCATTGTTTTACTGCAATATTTCATCAAGAAGTCATTCCAAAACGCGTCCTTTCAATTTTAAAGTAATTTTAAGTAAAGTTTAAAAGTAAAGTATACCTCTTATCGTATTTTTTTAGGGGAAAAATAAAACTAACACTGATAGGAGGATAAAAATAGGGCCGCGAAGCGGCCCATTGATGGCGCGGAGCGCCTTCAGGGGGTTGGGCCGTGTAGCGGCCAGGGGGCGTAGCCCCCTAGTATGAACTAACGTGTACATTACGTAGCAAACAGAGTTCCGTCCCTCCTCCACATGGCAACAGTGTTCCACGATCGGTCATTTCCGTCCGACTCCGTTGGGTGTCGTTCCTTTTCGTCGGTCCCCCACTCCTCCGTCATCGTTGTGACTTACCAACCTATGCACACTAAAAGAATGATCCTGTCGGTTATTTCGTTGCGCCCGGCGGCTTTCGGTAGGGGGAACTAACAGAAACACGCGCGGATCGGGAATCGTTGACAACCGTGTACCAATAAAAACAATTTTATTAATAACCTCGAGTCAAGTCCGCGCAGATCGTGGTGTATACTATGCATAGTTCGAATCTGCCGTGTTTTGGTAGAAAACATGTAAGGTTGGTGCAACTGCATGGCTGGGCGGTGAAATCCTCCTAACCTAACATCGTAAATGAAGTGGTGCTGGTGCTGAACTGAACTGTCCGAATTTCGGATTGTTGGAGACAAAGCTCTAGGATGTGCTCAGGTAAGTTTCGAATACTTCAGTTCTTTTCTTTTTCTCATCTCCGGGAATGAAAAAGATGCTCAGTTGATATCACCGGCGGACCTATTGGATGTGTCAAGTCATTCCTGTCTCTGCATTGTTTCGTAGTTTTACTCTAACTTCAGGATGGAATCACAACGATGGCTCTGAGTAAATGATTACACCTCTTGTTTTAAATTTGAATCGATATTACAGTATTTGTTTAGAAAGCGGAAGCTCGTGAAATTTCGAGACTGAAGGTTTCATAAATTGTGTGTGAGGGCAACATGCGATTCCAGTGCATAATCGCACATTTCAATGAATACAACTGGACCTGAAGGGAGGAAAAGTTCATGCCAAATAGGTTTACACACTGTTTGAATGCTACGGAAGATCTTAAATTCTTGTATTTGCTTTAATTGCTGAATAGAGATAGCTAATTTACTGTTGCTTTCTGAAAGTGCGTAAACTTATTTGGGATTGACAAGGTAAGCTTAAAATGGTGATAGCTCCTTTTCAATTATTAGCAGTTGCTTATGCTTGATCTTGAAATATTTTAGTATAAGAAGGATTACTCAATCGTCCACACTTCTTACGTAGAAAACATCATATCAGTGCGTCTACTGTCTGTAGCACAGCACATGGTAGCACATGGTAGAGCACTTATTATTGTGCAACAAAGCATGTAACAAGCCAAATCATTAAGGCAACAACATTGTCAGTTGCTTTTGTCTGTTGAAACTACTGAACTTTCTCTAATCTAACCAAGAATGAAAGGCAAATCAAAGCATCACAGGAGCTTGCAAATGAAAAAAGAAAATTAATGTTACAAATACTTTCTGTCTAACGATCGCAGATTATTCAACGCCTGTAATTTTCGAAAAAAGGCCGTATCCCTGGAGATGGTCCTTTTTCAATTCCTTCAGTCATAAGTAACTTTCCCCTATGTCACTTCTAATTCCCTTACTACTTTCTGCCTCCAGGTTTATCTCTCGTGAAGTAGTTCATAAGTAGTCCTCTGTCTGTGATGTCATCGAAACAGACTAGATTCCAAGAGCAGTGGCTGCAAAATCCTGAGTTTGCAGAATGGCTGGAAAAAGTTGACAATCATTTGAATGAAGCCCGATGCTCTCTCTGCAGATCAGTATTCGTCCTTGGGAATATGGGCAAGCGAGCGCTGCGGTCTCACCAGGAAGGTAAAAAACACAAACTAGCTGTCCTAAACGCTAAATCAAGTGCTTCGTTGAAGTGCTTCTACAAAAGTACAACTTCCTCCATCATCACTTCAGAGTCGCATGAACCACCGATCACCTTGACTCCCAGTAATGACAATCCTCCTAGTGTACCATCATCGACGGATATCAGCAAATTAAGTGTTGAAATAACACCGCGTGGTCTTCAATCATTTGTGCTGAAGAACAGTATTTCTGATGCAGAGATTCTATCATGCCTGCAATATGTGATGACACCAAACCTATCCATGAGGTCGATGGAAAACATTGTCAAATTAGATGCTCGGAAATATCCTGATTCCGAAATAGCCAAAAAAGTCAAATTGAGCAGGGAAAAAATATCATACTCAGTGAATTATGGCCTAGCGCCCCACTTCCACAAGGAAGTTCAAAACTTACTTTTGTGTGTTGACTGTTTTGTTGTTTGTTTTGATGAATCTTTTAATAAAATAGCAGAAAAAACCCAAATGGACCTAGCTGTTAGATTTTGGGATACGACCTGTGATCTTGTTGCTACTCGTTACTTTAACTCAGTGTTTTTAGGATCTCAAACTTCAGCTGATCTTGTAGCGGGTATTCATAAAGGGCTGTCACCATTACCAATGACTAATATAATTCAGCTTTCAATGGACGGGCCCAATGTAAATCTGAAGGCATCTAGAGACCTTAGGTCCAGTGTTAGCACTGATCCAGATGATCCTTCTATTTTAAACATGGGCACATGTGGTTTACATCATGTGAATAATGCTTTTGAGCGAGCCTTTTCAGAAAATGAATGGGAGTTAGAATTATATCTAAGAGCAAGTTACAAAGTTTTGGATAACTCGCCTGCACGTCGTGCCTTATATACAAGTTTTTCTGGATCTAATATATTTCCTAAACCATTTTGTCTAGTCAGATGGCTAGAGAATGGCGATGCAGCAGATAGAGCAGTCAAAATTTTACCAAATATGCTAAAATTTGTGGAAGGTTTAAGGGAAAATAAAAAGGAGCCTAAGTCTTTTTATTACAAAATGTTAAAAAAATGCCTCAGTGATCCTTTACTCTCTGTGAAACTTGCATTTTTCAGTTTCATTGCAAAACAGACTGAGCCCTTTCTTAGAGAATTCCAAGGAAACGAGCCATTGGCTCCTTTCCTTTATCAGGAGCTTAACTCTTTAGTGCATGATCTTTTAGAGCGTATTGTAAAACCAGAAGTCCTCAGTGAACATGCACAAAATGTATCAAAAATAAATCTCTCTGATGAAAATACCCTTTTGTATGCAAAGAATGTAGTACTTGACGAGTGCACCAAGGAAGCATTCCGAAAACTAAGTTCCAGGCCCAAAACTAGTGAAATTGTATTGTTCCGAAATGAATACAGAGTAACTATAAAGAAATTTTGTAATCTCCTCTTAGAAAAGTCTCCTCTTAAATACCCCTTGACACTGCAGCTTTCTTCTCTTAACCCTGAAATCGCCATTACCTCTTTAGGTACAGAAAGATTTAGATCTTTAATTTCTACTTTTGTGCAAAATAATTGGGTGAGTGCAGTTACTGGCGAAAAAGCTATTAAAGATTATAAGAACCTTTTTTCATGTCCTGTTGTCAAAGAAAAATGCCTAGCTTACTCAAGATTTAAAGAGAGACTCGATGCTTTTTTTATGGATTTATTTAATCTTAAAAAAAATATGCATGTTGCCTTAACGAAAGTTGTCAAAGCAAGTCTGATTTTTTCGCATGGAAATGCATTTGTTGAGTCTGGCTTTTCCATAAACAAGGAACTCCTAGAAACTAATCTTAAAGAGGAAAGTCTCATTGCCAGGCGCATAATACATGATAAAGTTCAATCAATGAATGGGCTGGCCACTTTTGTCATTGATAAGAATTTAACACATGCTTTTAGAAATGCCCATGCAAACTTTACTGAGGCTAAAAGAAAACGAGAGATTTCAGAGACTGATTCAGAAGTAAGGAAGAGGAAAAGACTTTTGGCCCAAAATCAAGTCAAGGATTTAGAAGCCGCACGCAAGGCTCTCAAGAATGAGACTCAACTAAAGGATAGTATTTTAGTAGAAAAGATTAAAGAGCTGAAAGCTTCCAAGGAACAGTTTTGAGTTTCGTAAGCTTATATTTTTGTGTTCCAATTTTTGTAATTTGTTTGCAATTCATTTTTTTTGGTTTTATGCTGTTTTTTTATTTCTTGTTCATTATTTTTATAATTCCGGCCAAAAGTGGATCGAATTCACTAAAATTCCATTTGTAACCTAAGTGATTACAAGCAAGCCACCCATTGATTATTCAGTTACCTGTTGATTATTTTGTTAAATGTTTATTCTAGTACTCTAGCAGGTCTAACAGGTAACAGCTTTATTTAATTTGTGATAATTATATTACTTTACTTTTTGGGTTTTTTTTCCATTGCTGTTGGTATCTACCTATTTTCTTGCCTTCTGGTATGTTTCATTTTTGAATTTTGAAGTTTTTTTGTTCAATATTTACTTAGTGTACTTGAGATAGTAAATTCAGTTCCAGACGTCTGCATATTCACACTTGAAATGTAACCATTTTTCCCAATATTTTGTAGTGAAAATACAAATATTTCTTCAATTATTTTTCTCATGAGGGCAAAGTATTTAATTCGTACGAGCATTATTGTTTGCCTGTATCAAAAATAGCAAAACTTTTTTGATCTTCAGGATCTCTGACCACTTTTTTATGCTCAGTATACTAAATGTATCAGTTTCGCTATGTTTGGTTTAATTAATTCAATTAGGTATTCTTGTTCACTCATACTCAGATCATTACTACTTTTATGATTTCATTGATCTGTTGTTCTAAATGTGTCTCTTCTAAATGCATTAAGTGCATTAATTTGTTTCAATATAGGTGCTAGTTTCTTGATCTCCCAGACCTATAAGTTTATTTGTTCCTTTTAATTTAATAAATTTATGAACTTTTTTCTGTGTTCAAAATCTTGTTTTCTTGCTTTCTGTTTTTGCTCCCACATACCATGTTCAGCATCTTTCTACAAAGTACTCCCTGAATGGCTAGTGTTATTATCTTAGGACGAAATTTTGTAGCTATTACGGCACAATCTCATAGCTTTTGCAGCTGACCGATTTCAGTGATTTTAATACAGAGACTGATTCATCGTACGCCACTCCTTCCCTTTCATACATTATTAAGAAGTTAAATGAAAATTTAAAATTTTAATTAATGTGTGTAATTTTTTTTTCTGAATTTTCTTTGATTGTGAAATGGTTATCTCTTTTTATCAAAATAAGTTAAAGATGTGCATTCCAGGCTATAATTCATTCAATTATTCAGCACCGAATTTACCCACAACATTCTGAGTGCAACTGCGCGTCGATGACTTTAAAAAGTCAGGAAATTTAATCGTATTCAGAAAAAGTCGCGGTCTCTTGCCTACAAAAAGTTAGGGAATTTTATTGTAAAGTCAGGGAAAAGTCAGGGAAAAGTCAGGGAATTTTGAAATTGAACTTGACTTGCCACCCTGGAAGACTACAAGCATGCTGATCACCTTCACCTACCACAAGCTGTAATGGAGGTAATTAAGCCAACATTTCGAGATTTAGCTGATGAGAACCTTCTCAAGAAATGCCTTCATGGCAACACGCAAAATCCAAACGAATCGCTAAATAATGTAATCTGGTCTATAATTCAAAAGCGTTGTTTTTGTAATGCTTAACACTCTTGAACTAGGAGTTTATGATGCAGTAGCACTCTACAATGAAGGCAATATTTGTGCAAAATTCTTCAGAAATTGGGAATGAAACCTGGTTTCAATTGTGTCACCATTATGAAGAAAATTGACAAAGCAAGAATTTTCAAAGCGGAAAAAGCCATGCAAGAAATTGCAAAGAAATGTCGACTGCGGATCAGTTCAGCAAAAAGAAAACTTGAGGATGCATTTGAGGAAGAAGAGGATCCAGACAAGCCATCTTATGGTGCAGGCCTGCATTGACATGTGTTTATAGCATCAATTGTGCAATTAAGTGGCAATATTATTCATAAAGATGTCTTACTGAATCTTTAACCCTTCATTCCCGATAATCACAATTTTCGACACATATTTTTCTTTTTCTCAGGATCTACTGGGTTTTCTTTTTCACGCTTTTTTTTTGTTTGATTCCTTGTACTCTTCTGCACACTTTAACACAGGCTTTTCTTGATAAATTGATTTTTCAAATTTTGAGGACACTTTGAAGTCAATATTTTTGAAAAAAATATTACCAAATTGAAAAAATTCATAAAAATACGAATTTTCAAAATTTTGGAAAACCCCCGAGTTAAATTCATCCTAAAGGTGTCAGGAACCTAACAAAACAAACCGGATGAAAAAAGACCCAGTAGACTCTGAGAAAAAGAAAGTTGAAGTTGGATAAATTAACATGGGCTAGCATAGGAAGTCCGACTCCCCTTAAACAGGAAAACATGACACATTTTTGACATTTGTGAACCCTCCCAATGCACTAAATGGGCTTTTTCTGCTATGGAGGCCTCATTAATTTTCGAACCATAACTTTTAAATTATTGACTCAATTATATTCTTTTGTCTGTGTTATTAAGTTATTTAAGTCTTGTTTGTCCTTTGAGTAATTAGTTCATGTACAACTTTCTCACTCGACTTCTTTTTTGCAAGCATTGTTTTTTAGTTAAGATAGAAGTGCAGTTCAATTTATTCATTTATTTTCTGTGAATGTGATTTGTTTGTTAATCCATTGTGTCAGGCAATTTAGAGTCTTCACAGAAATACAATTTTGTGTTCTTGAAATAAGTGTATTTTCATTCTATTACATTCCAGAATCTTGAGATGATAAGTTGAAGCAGTTTGTTATGGTTATTTAGGTAGGATCATCTCATTAAATGTCTAGTGAGGTGAATATTTTTTGATATGACTGCAAAATGTCGGTGGAGAAGGTCCTTTGAAGGAAGTTATAAAGCATATATTTTTGTGTAATTTCATTCTATTCCTCCCTTTTACAGCAAATGTCACCAATTGTCAAAATTTTACTGTCAATTTATTGAGTAGTGTTCAGGGGAACTTTTCCTTAAGCATAGAGCCCTCAAAATATTTTCATCTCAAGTTTCAGGCGATTAAGTACAAAGATAAGAGGGATTTCTCATGATTTTCCCTCCCAGGTTCATCAGGCTCCTGAAAAAGAGGAGGGAAGGAAGGGGTAAAAGTTTCCCCAAACAGTTCCAACTTTTTGCAACTAAGTTCCACGATGCTCCAAATTTTCTGTCTGAAAGTACCAACTTATTGAAACTTTTTTGATCAATGTATTCACTATGTTGTTTGAAAGTTGCAACTTGTTGCAACTAGGTGGTAAGAAAGTTGAAACTTAGTTGGAACTAGGTTTAAACAAAGTTTCAAGTTTGTTGCAACATTTTGGTCGGAAATGGCTACTGGGAATATGGTTACATTAAATTTTGCATTTCCGTTAAAGGATTAAACGACACTCTAACGTGGATGGAACGCTCAAAATAGTGGCAATGACGCCAAGAATTGAAATCTAAATCTTTTAAACGCAAGTCTAGATTCAAAATCTCTGTTTTCAAATACCAATGGAAATATGCATTGTTGAATACTTACAGCAATACATTTGAACTCATTGCAATCAAAATTGTTTAAGTTATGGAAGGAACAAGTATGTGACAGAGCCTAAGGACACTTATGCCTCCATGAAGACTGCATACTTTAGGAAAGTTGAGCTTGACTAGTAATCGGCCCACCTGTTGGCAAAGAGAACCTGTCATCACCAGAAAGAAAAACTTAAAACCACAAGACAAAAAAAAAAAAGAAGAATTTTCATATTATTTCTTTTGTAGGAACGCATTGCATTTTTCTCTTAGACTCATTGCATTGTTTCAATGCATTGTTGTTGCATTTGTTATTGAAGTATACAAAGATTATATTGATTTATTTGATTAGGTGGTTCAGAGTCATGAGTTGGACTATTAATAATTGATTAATAATTTGATATTTAATAGAGGCGTGTCTTATTATGTTTGTTCAGTGCCATCTGCGATGGGCTATAGTTAGTTAGTAGTTTAGTTATAGTTAGTTTTTTTAGTGTAATAGTTTTTCCAGACCAATCTTAGTACCTAACTTTTTTTCATTATACAGTCACGTATTAACAACTTTTAATGGTCATCAAAAATTCAATTTGGAGGTTGTAGTGGGGACCTTTCTGATGGGTATTTGAGCAATTTCGAAATCGGTCATCCGAGCTCTTGGAAAAATAATCGCATTTTTGTGGTTTTTCAGGGGTAAAATAGCAAACTGAGCATGGGGCGACAAATTAAACCTCCTCTCCCTCATCCTTCCCGGGACCGATCTGAATTTTTAGTATGTTTTTACCCAGTATAAGATGTCACTTTCCTAAAATTTTCGTGCCCGTACAAACTTTTTGGCCCCCGCGGCAGTGTTGCCAAGTTGCGGACTCCAAAATATCGAATTTGATGATAGAATGAAGGTTTTGAGGTAGGATTTCCTCTAATACTTTACAAGAAATGTGCAATCTGAGAGTTTTCGATTAGAAAAGGCATATTTGAACAATTTAGAATTACGGTGTTGCCAGCTTTACGATTTAAATTTGTCAAAATCACCCGAATCATGTTGCAACCTCAAGTGCTGGATTTTTATTTCGTTCAGAATCGGTCATTATGATTCTTCTGTGCTGTATACATTTAGGTACCATGAAAATTATGTCATTATTTACTTGATGGGTGCAATTAGCTCAACAACACTGTTAAAAATCAATGATTTACTCTGAGTGAATAGCCTGCAAGAAAAAAAAATCCAGTGCGAATCTCGCGCCGCACTCTGAGTCAATAGGTCAGAGCGTAAATATCACCAATGACGGATGAATTAGTGGAGCTCCCTCAAGTAGCATGAATTCAGCATTATCTAGTTAATTGCACCCATCAAGTAAGTAATGACATAGTTTTCGTGGTACCTAAATGTATACAGCACAGCAGAATCATAATGACCGTTTCTGAACGAAATAAAAATCCAGCGCTTGAGGTTGCAACATGATTTGGGTGATTTTGACAAATTTAAATCGTAAAGCTGGCAACACCGTAATTCTAAATTGTTCAAATATGCCTTTTCTAATCGAAAACTCTCAGATTGCACATTTCTTGTAAAGTTTTGGAGGAAATCACACCTCAAAACCTTCATTCTATCATCAAATTCGATATTTTGGAGTCCGCAACTTGGCAACACTGCCGCGGGGGCAAAAAAGTTTGTACGGGCACGAAAATTTTAGGAAAGTTACATCTTATACCAGGTAAAAACATACTAAAAATTCAGATCAGTAAGGATGAGGGAGAAGAGGTTAAATTTGTCGCCCCATGCCCGGTTTGCTATTTTACCATTAAAAAACCACAAAAATACGATTACTTTTTCCGAGAGCTCCGATAATCGATTTCGAAATTGCCCAAAAACACATCAGGGTGATCCCCACTACAACCTCCAACTTGAATTTTTGATGTACATTAAAAGTTGTTAATAAGTCACTTCAAGTGCACCATGCAGGGTGTTCGGAAGTTAACATACTTAACTTTCAGGATCGATTTTTCAGCTCAAAATATGCCTATTTTTCCCATACAAATATGTGACAGTCACACTTTCGACCACGCATTCCTTCTAGGGCGCTCTAAATACTCACGAATCTTTAAATACTGTTCCGATTCCAATTAAGTACCTGACAGTGATTTTAATGAAAATGGAGTGATTCCGATGGCTTTGTTTACTTCCCATTGTCCATGCACTGATATCGATCAGGCAAGAAGGAACGAGCCGTCGATATGTGACCATTAATCAGGGGATCTCCCGGAAGTCCCAAAAGACATCTTAGATTTTTCGGCGATGCGCATTTAAATCAACAAACTAAACACCTAGATTGTCTGACTAATACAAACACTGCGTAACACTTCGAAATTAATTTAGGTTAGGTTTACTTGGGCTCTCACTGCAGCTGCCATCTGAATCTATGTTAAACACTGCCCACATTTTGCCGAATATTGTTGATTTAATCGATAGCAATGAAAAGATGGCATCAAAATTGCATCTCACGTGGTCTTCTCTACTCGAAAAATAGGAGCATTAAAGGTGCACCTCAAAATAATTAAAGTTTATAAAAGCGGAATTCTCATATGAAATCCTGATGACTTGGGCTCCCACCCACATCCGGGCTTAAAAACCCGGCCCATGCGCGTTACGCAGGTTCCCTATCTGGCGGCCATTCCAGACGTTTAGTTCGTTGGTTTAAATAGGAGATAGCGTATTGGGCCACATCCACCATCTTGGATTTTCGAAATTTGGCCAAAAATTCGAGTTTCCCGTCCAAAAATCCCCCCCCCCCCTTTACCAAGTTTCACCAAGATCGACTGGACAAGAGCCGAGATAGCATTTTAGGCCACGTCCGCCATCTTGGATTTTCGACTTTTCAAAATTTGACTAGAAATTCAAGTTTCTCGTCCAAATATACCCGCAATATCTAGTTTCCACGAATCTCCGCCGCACGCGCGTCGACCAACTGGATATGGTTCCTTTTGATTTAATTCAGTATCCCGGATAGCGCATTAAATCAAAAGGACCTACGTGCAAAATCCCTTACATCTCGCTTAACAGTCATTTTTCGGAACTTGGGTGACGTGTGTAGTTTGAGACACTCTTCAACTTATGAACAAGCCACAGTAGACCAAAATCGGTCCATTAGTAAGGAAATAACGCCAATAGTTTTAGTCAAACTTGCTCCACTGAAAAATCTGAAAATGGCGCATTGTTCCTTTCAGCATAAATACGTCCAACTGCTACCGCTACCCTAGTTACCTGGGAGGGCTGAAATTTGGTCCAGGTATCAGAGGTAGGAATGAACAGAGGCACTCCATACCCCAATGCAGCAAAGTTTATTATAAAAAAAACCGTGCTAGATATTTGAAACAGCCTATTTTTATCCATACATTTCATTAAGAGGATGTTCCACTTTACATGCCGAGCACCGTAAAGAGCACTAAGGTTCCTGAAATCACACACATTTTGAGAACAACCCAAGGTAACTTACTTTGGCTGCACTGGCTGCTTCCTCACCAATGATAATTACTACTTTCCCTTTATTGTTGTATAATATGCTGAGTTCTGGGCTTGGAGGTAATGGTGATGAGTCTGAATCTGCACCTCCAAAGTCGATGGTTCCAAAAGGAATGTTAATACTTCCCGGAGCTGCTTCCTCCACAAACCTTCGAGAATAAAGAAAAAAAGAAACAAGTTGGTACTACATTGGAGCACGGTGGTAAAGTACTGGATAGCAATTTCGAAAATCATGAAAAATACGTCGCAACTTTCACATCAAGGCACAACTAACTCGGTCATTCTCAAAAGGACTAGAGTGCCAAAAAATCGAAAATTGAGTTATTGATGATTGATGGAATAGCCTAAGCAATACTAACTTACAGGGGTAAGTATTGCTCAGGCACAAATTCACCTTAAAGTACAGTGACGAGCCATAAAATGTATTCTTAAGGCCTAAAAAAATCATATGAAGAATCAGGCCATGCTTTAAAAGACCCTAGCACTAACCTTTATATGGCCATCTGTTCGCAAGAACTACACATGCAGCAGCCACCTGTTACGCATTGTACTATGTGGTACTCATCTGCCTTCATTTGATATGAATAGAAGACTTCAAGCATATTCTCAAATTTTTGAGGATCTATTGCATTTAAGAGCAATGGGTTCGTAATAATTAATTAATTAATTCATGATAAAAGCATATTCAAAGCAGATTGATCCTATTTTTCACTACGGACTTAAGAAGTTATAGCTCCATCAAATCCATCAAAAATGAGTTTTTCCCATACTTTCTACTTTTATCATTAATATAAACTTCGAAGGATTCAGACTTTCAGCGATGCCACCTTTTTCTATTTCACTCGAGGGAAGTGTCCCCTCCTCGCCTCTCTTCCCCACCCGGTGACTGACGCTGCGCTGTGCTGAACGGTTCAGCCTGAACCTTTCCTCTACGTCTAACCGTTCCCCACTCCTCTGTCAATCGAACCATGCCACCGCTTACGCATTGTCGCTCGCCCACCCAGGTACCAGGGTACCTAGCGGCCAGCGGTCAGTTGATGATAAATCTCGCTCACGCTCCCACGCAGCTACGCATAGATTACGCCAGAAAATTATTCTCCGAATAATTAGAATTTCTTCAATAGTAATTTTCTTTATTTATTTGACTGTACTTTTTCTCTGATTTACTGTATTTTCCTTGGTTCTCTGCTGTGTTTTTCTTAAATCTCCTCGGTGTTTTTATTTTATCTTGCTCATGCTCACACGCAGCTGAGCTCAGATTACCCTAGTGGAGTCGTTTCCTTTGTTATTTTTCTGTATTTTTTTTCTCTGTTATGCTGTGTTTTTCTTGAATCTTTACTGCGTTTTTCTGTCTTTTCTTTTCCTTTCTGTCTTAATATTTCTTTTCCTATCCTTTGTTCTCTGAGGATATTTTTGATAAAATAAGCATGAATCCAGCTTCAATTGATGACGTATTGCAGGACGTTTTGTCTGGCGACACAATTAATTTGTTTTTTGACATTGTGCTTCGTAAGACGAACTTCCGACCTGTCAATGTAAATTTAATGGGTTTGTGGGATTTCATAGGCCCAGCTCAATTGAATAACGGCAAATTTATTCAAATTTTGGGTAGCAGGCCCACTGGGAATATAAATGAAATTTCCCAGTGGGTAACTTTTTATTATTTTAACAACACTGTAAAAAAGGGAAATTTATATTAATACCTATCATTTAAGGAAGTGCAACTAAAATGTGAGTAATTTTTTCAGAAGAGTAAAAAAAAACAAAAGTGGCTAAAGATGGTTCCTCTTTTTCTCGTGGTGTTGGCTGTTTCTGCTAAATGGGAACCGTCCATTTCAAGATACAGTCTATCTCTTGCCCTGTCATTATTATTATTCTACAAGTTAATTGTGGAGTGAAAATTTAATAATGTTTTCTGTGAAATCTTCATACTAGAGTGATAAAAAATTCGCAACTACTACAAAATTGGCTCGCAAAGCGAGCCGAATGTCACTCTCGTAGCGAGTGACCGGGGGTCCAGGGGGCGCAGCCCCCCGGCTAGACGTGCCAGGCGCGCGAAGCGCGCCCAGAACGGCTAGTAGTTTATTAGGTTTAGAATAGAATCACTCATTCTCAAAAAGACTCAATCGCCAGAAATTAACTTACAGTTAAACATTAGTCGACCTCTTTTAAACCTATGATGATTAATAATGTAATTAATGGATTAATTGCTTTAATATTTTAGTGCTAAGGGATTTAAAACGCTTCTTACTGTTTTCTTGCATCCACATTTATGGCGCAATTGACAATGACCAATGCATCTTTGAATGAGCTTGTTTGCAAAGAAAAACCCAGGTTTTCTGCAACGATCTTGTAAGGTCTAAGGTATAGCGTCCAGCCATAGCACCGCATAACAAACTTTCTATCGCATCACCTAACAATAAAAAACAGGTATGCTTGAAAAAGTCATTCCTGTGGGGTCTGAGCTTGGTGTGTAAGGTCTCACGAGGTAGGGGAGAGGGGAAAGGGGGTGTTTCGGGCATTTCCATGTTGACAGAAGTTAGGTGCACTTAATACTGCTTGGATCTGATACTTCCTTTAGGTATTCGACCCTCTGTTTTAGGGGCTTTCATTATCTACACAACCTCCCTTGAAGAAAGATGTTATTTCTGTTGACTGAGATTTTAAAATTTTTTCATTGTTACTCACAATTGAGTAACAGGACTGTTATTTCTCCTCAGGGGCACTTCTTTTGAAGATTTCAGGCCTTTTTTTTTAAGCCAAACTCTTTAAGTGAACATTGTTTGCAAGTCAATCCCTGCTGAGCTTACATGACCCATTTACTGTTAACTGAAAACAGCACTTTCACAAATGCAGTTTAAACTGCTAGTCATTATTTACAGCATTATTAATTCATCTGGAGAAGAAAAAAAACTCCTGGACGAACGTCTTATCATGCAACCACTTACTCATATTGAGGTCTGATATCCACCGTCAATACTCGCTGAGGACTGTGATGCATGAGATCCAGAAGATCTGCTGCACTTATCCTTGGACAAAATTCTGCTTGCAATTCAGTATATGACAGCCCAGACATTTCCTGCAGATGTTAAAGAAATTTTCGTCATGTTTTTAGCAAGCATAGAAGTTGATACATGATTTCAACAGATATTGCGCGCAGAAAAGAAACATTATGAGAAAAATAAAACAACTATCAGAAGTGTTGAGCTCACAATCAGACGGTACTCTGAAGTCTCACAGAAAAACCTACCCACAATCTAATCAATTTAAGCTTGTTTGAGCCGAAATTTTCAGAGCATACAAATGAAAGATGGGCTTGAAATTTGCAACTTCAAACAAGTGAGTTGTGAGCTTAATTTCAAATGAAATATTTACTCATCATGAATTTGTTCACAACCTTGATGTGGTGCCTCCTCTGCTGAAAATTAGCAATTCTCAATTTTTTGCTATGAAATGGGTGTAGGTAAGTCGATAGGACATTACTTTGTCGACAGTGGTGCATTCTCTCATCTGACATTCTCAACTTGCATAACCATTGAAGCACCTTAACATTTCCAGTGACAGCCCTGATGGTACCCCCAACAGTTCATTCAATGAGAATAAGTGAATTTTTTAACTTGAAAAACAGAAGAGAAAAAAGGAGCATTTCTCATGTTAGTCACAATTTAGTTTACCAGAGGCGAAGTATTTTTACGCTGTTTAATGCTTTGTTGATGAGTATATTCATGTTGCCTAAATGTGATGCTCTTGGGAGTGGTGCAATAAGGTTCCATTGAGTCTGCAACACACCGCTCCATGTCAATTTCTGAAAATTAAAAATAAACTGTGTGAAAACATCGAACGGTACTCTATCCTTAAAAATGAGTACAAATTATTATTTACAGCCTTTAAACACTCGTTCTATTACAACAGGGCTGCTCTACAGTAGGACATGCATGCCCTTCATTCACAGGTGTTCCTTTTCCAGCTGCCAAGAAAAAAATGTAATAGTGTGACTAGAGGTGTAAAATCGGTCACAAGCCAATTTATACTACTAGAATCTGGAAGATACCGGACCCTTCAAAACGTCCCGTTCTTATATGCTTATGTTTTCAATTGTTGATGCCCGATGGGGGTCTGAAACTGTTGATGTCAAAATCAACGACTAACTCTTTATCATAGGTATTCAGACTGACTGTGAGAAAGATCTATAGAATGGTTTGCTAGTGTGGCAGCCGATTGCAATGCAGCCTTGCGAAAAATTTGAGAGTATTCCAGAAAAATTGGAAGATGTGGACATCAAAATTCTGTTTCGGGTCATCGAGGCGAGTAGATTAAGCCATTTCTCAAACTTGTGTCACAAAGTGGCACATGCCCGCGGACGATAAACCGAAGATCGTTGATGGCTGTCAATTAATAATAATTGCAATTTTTAATGAGGTGTCAGTCAACGATTTTTTCATGTGTATCTTTACTATGCAAGCTAAAATCTTCTTGGAGGAGAATTCATTGAAGATAAAGACAGAAACTTACCTGGCAAATCCGAAAACAGCAAAATGCATTCATTAAACCCTGAACTGAGGAGTGTGTCTCTTAGTTGTTGGAGAATAGCCAGACCAATAAAAAGTGGAAACGATGCATCTCCTAGTAACAGCTTGTCCCATAAGTGGAGTATTTTGTGGAGAGGAAACACATCTAAAATGAGACATTTTCAAATTAGACTAAACACTCGAATATAAGCATTTCAAATAGAATATCCTGAAACCTCTGGGAAGAAATCCTAACCAATGGGTCTGTTGCAAACTTTTGCTAGAGCAAAAATAAGAGTTGTTTCTCATAGATAAAGTCTAAAAAATCACGATGAGCTCATCGGCAAAGTCCTAATTTCACTATCTGCGTCAGAAAGAGCCTCGGCAAGTTTCGCCCTTTTTTGGATACCCGGGTTGGTCATAGGGACGAGGCTCAATGAAAACTTATGGTTAGGCAAACTGTCAAGCAAAGAGGCTGTCCCATTTTCCAAAGGAACTGGCCGCAAGAGATTTTACGTCCATACTTTCAGGAATCATAACGGATTATTGGAGAGGCCTAAATTCGGTGATCTTTCCCGTCTAGCCCTCCAACGGACGAGGGGGAAGGGGTCAAAGGTCAATCGCACCGAATACCATAAATTTTGAACGAAACGACGGATCAACTTGATCTTGGGCTCAAATGAAAGTTCTTGACGAAACCTTTCATTTAACGTACATCAAAGTCTGCTTTTGGTAATTTTTCAAAGTGAAAAAAATCATTGTTAGATTTTTCAAGCCCAAAAAATTCAGTTTGTAGGGTTTTTCCATGATGGGGAACGCAGGAATCATTGCAAAAACCAATTTATATAAAAGTCCTTGATTCTAGCTTTGAAACAAGCTATAGTTTAACTTGGGGAAACAAATGGTTCAAAAGTTATGACCGTTCAAAGTTGGAGTGGCGCGCTATTTTCGGAGCGCGTGGAATGTATGTATACTCACATGCCACTCGTCCCTACCATTTCCCCTGGTGCCCGCTTCAGCTGATGGTGGATACAGAAAGGTCCAAAGCTCCTTCCACCTTAAGAGTGACCAATTAGTGCAAAACTAATTTTATTTCTAATGAAAAAAGGGAAATAAAAATACATTAAATGCTGATATACGATAAGACGCTGGCATACATTATTTTTTTGCCCCCCTTTCATGATTTAATAATTACTAGCCAAATTAAACCTATTATCATAGATGTATCTGATTATTCCTATGTAGGTAAATATTGATGAGGGGGGATGGATCGGAGAATGTACAAAATTTGGCAACGTTGCTTAAAAATTCCATTTTTGCCTTGAATAATAATCTGGTACCATGCCATGGTGATATTCAGCCACCAGGATGGAAGGAATACCTTGATAAAATAAGTTATCCGAGCATTTGCTTGAGAAAATCTTAAATTATTGAAAGAGATTAAAATATCCTGCCCGGCAAGGGAGCAATGTGTACGTTGCCGCAACGTTGCAAGGCAACATTTTTTATGATATTGCTTTGTAAAGGTAAAGCAGCAACGTTTAAGCAATTTTTCAGCAATGTTGCCTGACATTATATTTTAGACAATATTTTCAAAACGTTTTTAGAAATGTTTTTGAAACATTATTAAAAAACGTTTCAATAAATATTTCTTAGATATATTGTGACAACGTTCTTAAACATTATTAGTCAGGGAGAGATACGATTTGACCCGGAACAAATTGCTTAACAAACTTTTCCTATGTAAATGTCATCAGTAGGTCTTCTTGAACAACATACCAAATGTTTACCACGGTCTGACCCCGGAACACCCCCCAAAATGCCTAAATTTCAAAATGGCGGCCATAATAAGGCCTCTGGGATTTCGGTTTTTTAAAATGCGCATATAGTGTCATGTGAGGTATCAATCCCTATGTAATTTTGGTCGTAGAACTCAGATATGAGGTCAGGCAGATGATGTGCTGCAAATCGGAGGGGACACTTTTACACTGTTTCAGGTGTTCTCCTTTCTGTTGTTTCTCAACAGATGATTTTCTCCAATCAATATAAGGGAATGCGCCCTCATACAATGTCGCAAAAATATGTATATGTATATACAAAAATAAAAAAAAAAATTAATTGATAGATAATTAAAAAAATAAAAAAATTAACAATAAAAATATACAAATAAAGATAAAATAAAAAAATAATTTAAAAAGAAAAAATAAAATATTAAAAATAAATAATTAGAAAATAATTTAATACAAAATAAAAATACCAAATAATTATAATATAATATAATAAATAATTAAAATAATAATAATTTTATTTATATGAAATGAATATATTTATTCAATTCTTTTTTAATTTTTTTTTTCATACTCCTTTTTTTTAAAAACTTGATCTTCCTAATATTATGTTCAGTATCCTTCGTTGTAGAATTATGCACAGAAATGCAAGAATATCATTGAACCAGATCTGGGGATGTTTATTAATGCTAAATAACCGATCTCTCTTATGCGAGCGTCCGTGGCTGAGTGCCAGAGACACACGGGCGATCACTGAAGTTCAGCAACGTCGGGCGTAGTTAGTACTTCGATGGGAGCCCGCTTGGGAACCCGGGCGGAGCGCAGCTACTTTCGGACTTACAGTGAATTTCGGGTGCCTAAGAAACACTTCTCTGCAGTCCACATTGAATTCTAAGAGTAAAAATGTGGAGTACTCCTAAAATAAATCACCGAAATTTGTTGCACCGTATTTTTGCAACATTCCCATTATGTTGCTAAAACACATTGTAGACACAGTGCCTATTACGTTCATGCTAGCTGACAAAATAGCACGCTGTGGCAACGTTACACGGTGGGCCAGATCGTGTCCGTAGCGGCGCTTAATTGATAACTCCCGCTAGATCAAGCATATCGTTCAAAACATGAAGATTCCTAGGGTAATTTGATTCCCTCTTTCCAAATTTTGTGTCAAAAAAACCGGCAAAAATGTCTAAATGTAGGTTTTGGACGTCGAAAGCTGAAGAAATTGCTCGATAAAAAAGAGGATCTTGTGCTCTTATAAAATGGGGGAAAAACACAATCATCGAACCGGAAAATGCAATCTTATCATCTAACCTTGTAATTCTATTGGAAGGAGAATATTTTCGGTTTTGCAGATCCGAAAAATATTGATTTTTAGCTGCAGGGCATGAGATCAAAGTTGCCCGAAAAATAAGCCTTAAAAAATGAATTTTTCAGAATATTGTAGACTGGGAAAGTGTCATTGCGGTTCGTTGCGCGGTTCTC